ATGCATCCACACGTCCCTGCATCCACATGTCCATCATACATCCACGTCCCTGCATCCACATGTCCGTCATACATCCACGTGTCCGTCATACATCCACATGTCCCTGCACCCACATGTCCGTCATACATCCACATGTCCCTACATCCGCATGTCCGTCATGCATCCACACGTCCCTGCATCCACATGTCCATCATACATCCACGTCCCTGCATCCACATGTCCGTCATGCATCCACACGTCCCTGCATCCACATGTCCATCATACATCCACGTCCCTGCATCCACATGTCCGTCATGCATCCACACGTCCCTGCATCCACATGTCCATCATACATCCACGTCCCTGCATCCACATGTCCGTCATACATCCACACGTCCCTGCATCCACATGTCCATCATACATCCACGTCCCTGCATCCACATGTCCGTCATACATCCACACGTCCCTGCATCCACATGTCCATCATACATCCACGTCCCTGCATCCACATGTCCGTCATACATCCACACGTCCCTGCATCCACATGTCCATCATACATCCACGTCCCTGCATCCACATGTCCGTCATACATCCACACGTCCCTGCATCCACATGTCCATCATACATCCACGTCCCTGCATCCACATGTCCGTCATACATCCACACGTCCCTGCATCCACATGTCCATCATACATCCACGTCCCTGCATCCACATGTCCGTCATACATCCACACGTCCCTGCATCCACATGTCCATCATACATCCACGTCCCTGCATCCACATGTCCGTCATACATCCACATGTCCCTACATCCACATGTCCGTCATACATCCACGTGTCCGTCATACATCCACATGTCCCTGCACCCACATGTCCGTCATACATCCACATGTCCCTACATCCGCATGTCCGTCATACATCCACACGTCCCTGCATCCACATGTCCGTCATACATCCACATGTCTGTCATGCATCCACACGTCCCTGCATCCACATGTCCGTCATGCATCCACACGTCCCTGCATCCACATGTCCATCATACATCCACGTCCCTGCATCCACATGTCCGTCATACATCCACACGTCCCTGCATCCACATGTCCGTCATACATCCACACGTCCTACATGCACGTCTGTCATACATCCACATGTCCGTCATTCACCCACACGTTCCTGCATCCACATGTCCTTCATTCACCCACACGTCCCTGCATCCACATGTCCATCATACATCCACACGTCCTACATGCACGTCTGTCATACATCCACATGTCCGTCATTCACCCACACGTTCCTGCATCCACATGTCCTTCATTCACCCACACGTCCCTGCATCCACATGTCCATCATACATCCACACGTCCTACATGCACGTCTGTCATACATCCACATGTCCGTCATTCACCCACACGTTCCTGCATCCACATGTCCTTCATTCACCCACACGTCCCTGCATCCACATGTCCATCATACATCCACACGTCCTACATGCACGTCTGTCATACATCCACATGTCCGTCATTCACCCACACGTTCCTGCATCCACATGTCCTTCATTCACCCACACGTCCCTGCATCCACATGTCCGTCATACATCCACACGTCCCTGCATCCACACGTCTGTCATACATCCACACGTCCATCATACATCCACACGTCCGTCATACATCCACACATCCGTCATACATCCACATGTCCGTCATACATCCACACGTCCCTGCATCCACATGTCCGTCATACATCCACACGTCCCTGCATCCACATGTCCATCATACATCCACACGTCCTACATGCACGTCTGTCATACATCCACATGTCCGTCATTCACCCACACGTTCCTGCATCCACATGTCCTTCATTCACCCACACGTCCCTGCATCCACATGTCCGTCATACATCCACACATCCGTGCATCCACATGTCCGTCATACATCCACATGTCCCTGCATCCACATGTCCATCAGACATCCACACATCCGTGCATCCACATGTCCGTCATACATCCACACGTCCCTGCATCCACATGTCCGTCATACATCCACACGTCCCTGCATCCACATGTCCGTCATACATCCACACATCCGTCATACATCCACATGTCCGTCATACATCCACATGTCCCTGCATCCACATGTCCATCAGACATCCACACGTCCCTGCATCCACATGTCCGTCATACATCCACACGTCCCTACATCCACTCGTCCGTCATACATCCACACGTCCCTACATCCACATGTCCGTCATACNCACTTACTGTAAGCCAGGCCTAGACCCCAGGACCACCACCGATGGGAACTGTGTTTAGTTAATCACTTACTGTAAGCCAGGCCCTACCTCGTAGCATTAGCTCGTTTGATCAGCTGGTGCTGTGACTGGCTCTGGTGTCCCTACTCACAGATGAGTGCAGTGACACTCTGGGAGACAGAGGCTTGTCCAAGGTCACACCACTAGAAGGTGATGGGGCCCAGTTCATACCCAGGTAGATCTGACTCCAGATCTCCCGCTGTTGACCTCGGCGTGGCCAGACTCTGAGGGGGCTTGGCTCTGGGGATGTGCAAAGGAGAAGAACTTGGGAGGTGGGGGAGGCTGGAGGTGGCCTGGCTGGGGCCTGAGTAGCCCCCCGAGGAAGCTTGAGGGGGCAGCATGCCGGCCACAGGGGTCATCCTGGCCCCTCACAAGGAGTAAGCTCAGGAGCTCTGGCCCCCCAAGATGCAAAGGGCTTGGATGCTGGAGCCCTGGGGACCCCGAAGGGGAGTTGGGCTGTGTGGGGTCTATGGCAGCCTCTGAGGGTGGGCCTAGCTGCTAGCTCAGGGGCTCTTATTTGGGGATCTGAGGACCTCCTTGAAATGGGATGAAAACGTACACGTGTGAGTCTTCATTACATTTCCAAAGGGCCTTGTGACCCAGTCAAGGTTGAGAAGCACATCCCAGTCCATGATTGCCGTGTGTCCCCTGCTTAATGATCTCAGCAACTTGGGGGGCCCCCAAGGGAAAGAGGGAGATTTCCCCCTCTGGCTTGGCTACAGTGGGCTCTGAGCACAGCTAAAATTCTGCCCCCCTGGGTCATCACTGACTGAGATAAGAGCCCCCAAGGCCAAGCTGTCGGGGATCAGCTCCACCCCGGTAAACTTCTTCGTCAGACCAGGGAGGGGCTCCTGGGAGCCATGCTCTTGTCCTGGCCTTGGGAGCCATCACTTTGGGCTCAGCAAATATTGGAGACACCCACAGACAAGCCATCGCTGTACTGGTGACGAGCTGGCAGGGGTAGCACGTGGATGTAGAGGTGCCCAGGGAGGTGCCCAGGGAGGTGGCTGCTGGGGATCCCAGGAGGGTGTGAATGCTTCCAACCAGGTCTGGGGGAGGCTTCCTGGAGGAGGTGATCCCTGAGCAGGGGGCTGCAGCTAGTGGAGGTGCAGGAAGGAAGCGCTTCACACAGGCAGGCATGTGGGGCTGGGGGGTCTCCACACAGAGCCGAGGGGCTGGCATCTGGCTCTGGCCACTGAGCAGCCCCTGCCCCTTCCCCAGTCCCACCCATCATCGAGGGTGCTGGTGGAGGACCCTACGTGGTGAAGGCTGTGGCCGGGAGACCCGTGGAACTGGAGTGTGTGGCCACAGGCCACCCAACCCCCACCCTCTCCTGGTACCATGAGGGGCTGCCCGTGGCAGAGAGCAACGGGACGTGGCTGGAGCCGGGCGGCGACGTGCTGCGGCTGGAGAGCCCAGGGGAGGCGTCCGGAGGCCTGTACAGCTGCGTGGCCAGCAGCCCTGCTGGGGAGGCTGTGCTCCTGTACTCCGTGGAGGTGCAGGGTGAGCCCAGACCCGACCCCCAGAGCTGCCTGGGCTGTGGACAACCCCCCTGCTGTGCTCTTGTCCCCAGCAGACCTTGAGGGGGTGGAGGGACATGAAGTAACCAGTGTCCCATATTGAATGACACAGATAAGGACGCTGAGGACTGACCTGGGGGCAGTGGGGCTAGGAGGGGGCTAGGACCCTGGGCCAGGTCACCCAGGACGGAGGACGCCGTCTGCCTTCCATCAGTGGAATGGACATTTATCGAGAACTTCCTAAGGCCAGAAGCTGTGCTGTGGGCTGGTCCCAGGCCGGGGTGGGGCAGGGTCTTTCTTCTTCCATCCATTCGATCCATCCTCAGCACTAACTGTGCTGCGCCGTGAGTACTGGAAATAAAGCAGAGCACAAGGCAGACCGGACTCCTGAGTCCTCAGCCTGGTGGGGGGCAGGGCCCGTGCCTGTGCGGGGAGAGCTGGGAGGGCCCCTCACCCAGCCTCGGGTGGCCCTCAGAGGCCTCCTGGAGGAGGGACCGCTCTTGGGAGACTCGCAGGGTAAGGTGAGGCTGGGCCTTGCTCTGAGGGCACTGCAGACTTGGGAGGACTTGAGGCCAGGGTTTGCTCAGCTCCAAATGGCGGCTCCTGCCCGCAGTGCCCCCGCAGCTCCTGGTGGCTGAAGGCTCGGGCCAGGTGACGACCATCGTGGGACAGCCCCTGGAACTTCCCTGCTGGGCCTCAGGCTCCCCGGTGCCCACCATCCGGTGCGTATGGGGGTTGGAGGCCAGCGTTGGGGGTGCGCAGAGTGTGTGCTGAGGGGGTAGGTGGGGAAGGGAGCCGCCCCTGTTCCCAGGAGTGTGACAGACCACAGAGCCTGGGATGAGGAGAGCGGGCGGGAGGTGCTTCAAGCATCCTGGCTTGTCTTGCCCAGCCCGGCCTTCGCCAGCCTCAGGCTGACCTGTCCCCCTCCCTGCACACCTTAGGTGGCTGCATAATGGCCGCCCAGCAGAGGAGCTGGCCGGGGTGCAGGTGACCTCACAAGGGGCCACACTGCACATTGACCGTGTGGAGCTGGCCCACGCAGGCCTCTTCGCCTGCCAGGCTACCAACGAGGCAGGCACTGCCGGGGCCGAGGTGGAGGTGTCTGTGCATGGTGAGTGGGTGCCCGGGGTTCTGGGACCGTGGGCTGCCTTAGATGCCAGGGGTGGGTGGAGCCAGAGGGCTGTGGCCATCTGGGCCTGTGTCAAGCCTGGTGGACCTGGGAAGGACATAGGGCTGGTCACCTCTGGACAGCATTTCTGGGCTGGACTTCCCAGTTCCCCCAATGGACGTGGGTGTGAGAGGCTGGTCTCGGCGGCTTATTGCACTTGTTGCCTGTCCGGTCCAGCCCCCAGGCCTCCCTTCCTGTCCTGCCCTCCTCTCCGCACTCGCTGTCTTTATGCTGACCACCTGGAGTTCGTCCGATCCTTTCTATACATCAACGTTTTTGCTGTCTCATCTGCGAGTCTGCGTGTGCTGTTCCCTCTGCCTGGAACTTTCTCCCTCTTCTTTACCTGCCTAGCTCCTCCCTACCTCTCAGGTCTGTCCTAAAACATCCCTTCCTCGAGGAAGCCTTCCTAGTCCATCATGTTTCTAATCTGCATCTGAGATTGCTTGTTTGCTTGTCCATCTCTGCTGTCCAGCTCTGGGAGCTTGAGAGGGCAGTACGGTGGCCTCCTTTCTCTGCTGTGTCCAGGGGCTAATACAGTTTTGGGCACAGAGTATATGTTCAGTGCACATATGGATGCATAGATGGATGGATGGATGGATGGGTGGATGGGAAAATTTTTTTTCATATATGTGCTCAGGATTGTATGGATGGGGGGATTTTTAAAGGGGAAGACCTGCTCTTCTGGCTCCCAGTCTGGAGCTCTTTCCCCTAAGCCAGGTGTCTGGCAGGTAGGGTGGAGGGAAGCTAGAGGCCAGCCCTTGTCCCAGCCCTGCAAGGCCACCTCCTCACCCTCAGGCATTGGGGGGTTTCTGGAGGTCCACAGCACCCCTCCTGACCCTGACCTGGGCCCTCGCCACCTCTCCTCCTGCCAGAGCTCCCATCCGTCATCATCATCGGGGGTGAGAACATCACAGCCCCTTTCCTGCAGCCTTTGACCCTCCAGTGTGTAGGGGCTGGGGTGCCTACCCCAAGCCTCCGCTGGTGGAAGAATGGGATGGCCCTGGCAGCCTCAGGGGGGAAACTGCAGGTACATGCAGGGGCCCCAGGGTTGGGGGGCAGCTGGGCACAGGTGGAGGGGCTGCTCTTTAGGGGAACTGGAGACCCCAAGGAAGGCCCTGGCAGCCTGAGGGTAGGACAGGCACAGAGCCTTCTCAGCCTGGAAAAGCTCGGTGGACCTTGGGGTGTTGGGTCTGAAGAGGGGAGGGGGCCCTTAGCCTATTCCAGATCTCAGAGCTTCAGGTGACAGAGAGAGAAAACTTGGGGGGGAGAGGGGAGGAGTACACCCAGAGACCAGAGGAGCCCCTGGAATGTGAGTGCTCGGTTCATAACTACCCCAGAGCCAAACATGTCCCCATGCCTCGTGTCTCCATCCGTGGGAGCCAGCAGCCGCCTGGCCACTCACCATGTCCCATTATCACTCTGACTCCCCTCCAGGCCCAGGCCCTGTGGCTTCCCCCACAGTCGCAGTCCCACTCCCCCCCACTGCCCTGCTCCTTCTTCCAGATTGAAAAGGTGGACCTGAGGGACGAAGGCGTCTACACTTGTGCCGCCACTAACCTGGCTGGGGAGAGCAAGAGGGACGTGGCGCTAAAGGTTTTGGGTGAGGATGTGGTCACCAGTGGGGCCCAGGTTCAGGGATGGCAGGTGGTCCCTGGAGGACCCTGGGGTCAGGAGGGGAGGAGGTTTTACAATCACAGATGTGCCCTTAACTTCAGAAGAAGTGGGGAGTCCAAGGTGAAAGCGTAGGGGACGCCCTGTGGCCCCTTTCGGTTGTTTTTGGTGGGATTTGCAGCAGTGGGCCTTGCCCTCACTCAGATCTACCTTTGCTGGTTTTATTCATTATTTGGGTTCATTTGCAAGCAAATCCCTGCCCTTGTCACTTGCCACAGCTGCATGGGATTCCACCACCCTGTTGTGCTGAATGTTGGCTCTTCCTGAGGGACTGGTGCTGGGGTGACCCTTGTACGATTGCAGTGAAGATTGTAGCCTTGCGAGGTCTTGGTTCCAGGAGTGGGGTTTCCTGGTCAAGGACCTGAGCTGATTTAGAGCCCTCGATGCCCCAACTCCTGGGAAGACTGGGAGGGGCACTGGGATGTCTGGGATAGGAGGTACCCAGAGCTCACACCCACAAAGCTGGATCTCTCCTTGTCTCCCCCTAGTGCCCCCCAACATTGAGCCAGGGCCAGTCAACAAGGCAGTGCTGGAAAATGCCTCAGTGACCTTGGAGTGTCTGGCTTCGGGCGTGCCCCCTCCTGGTAAGACCCCTCTTCTTGGCTGAAAGCCTATTCCCCATCTAATGAGGTCGGCATGTACCCTGGGTGCCACTCTGGCTGTGGAAATAATGGGGACAAGTGAGCAGGCCCCCCCTTCTCCTGTTTTCCTTTCTTCTTTCTCAGCAGCTTTTATCCAGTGCCCATCACATCTGGTGATGTGCCCATCCAGTGCCCATCACATCTGGCCAGGGTCCAGAGCCTTTGCTGGTGTCCAAAGCAAACTTGCAGGGCTTTTGCTCAGAGTCTGCAACTTCCCAGGGCTGCCCCAGGGCAGGGGGCGAGGACCAGGACCTCTGAGTCACCGTCTGGGCCTCTTCTCTAGACCAGCAGCTCAGGAAAGGGCTGGACGCCTGGGGCTGGGTGCGGGGGTTCCACATACAGGATGGGGTGGGGCTTATTGTGGGCCCAGGAGGAAGCCCCCATCTGAACCAGGCCCACCTGCTTTATCTGGGATAGGTGAGCCCTAGGGTGTCTGCCCTTCCCATGGGGCACCCTGGTGTGTTCTGGGTGAGCCCTGGCAGGATGGATGGGAGCTGATGATGAACGGGAGCTGATGATGGAAGCGGCCCCTCCCTGACTGTGAGGCTGCTGTTTTGGGGTGGCCCGTGTCCTGCTCCACAGCTGTCCCTGCCGAGAGGTCTCCTGGTGGGAGAGGAGATGAGGAGGCCCAGCTGGGTTTGACTGCCCCCGCTCCTGACCGCCCCAGCCTCCACTCATGGGGCTTGCCCTCTGCCCTGGGTCCTGCCTCAGGTGGCACTGCCCTGTTCCACCTCCTTCCTGAAGAACTCTGGCTTTCTCCAGTGCCTGAAAGAAACTGTGGCCACCCTGGAGGCTTCTATTGGATGCCAGCTACACCAGCAGAGTCTGAAGGGCTGGCAGGACCCCTTGCATCTATCTTCTCCTCCCTAGATGTCTCCTGGTTCAAGGGCCTCCAGCCTGTCTCTGCCCAGATGGGAGTGGCAGTGTCAGCTGATGGGAGAGTTCTGCGCATTGAGCGAGCTGGGCTGTCCAATGCTGGGAGCTACCGCTGTGTGGCCTCCAATGTGGCAGGCAGCACGGAGCTGCGGTTTGGCCTGCGGGTCAATGGTGAGCTGCCTCGGGACTACAGGGGCCCTTGTCCAAAAAGTTGTGTTTCCGTCCATTTGTCTGTCTGTCAGTCTGTGCGTCATCCCTTCCTTCATCTACCTACTCACCCACCCAGCCATCCATCTGGCCATCCTGCCAGCCACCCTTCCCTCCGTGCATGCAGACATCCAACCTTGCATCCGTTGACTCAACCATCCAGCCACCCACCCATCTGACAGTCCCTTTGCGCATCCACCCATCCATTCATCCATCCGTCCTTCCATCTCTCCATCCTCTATCTACCCACATTTATCGAGTACATGCTCTGGGGCAGACCCTGGGGCTCCATCCCTGCATGAGACAGACATAGGAGCTTTCAGTCTAGTGTAGGAAACAGTAATTAGATCATTACCCAAAGTACGGCATCATGACAATCATGAAAAGAGCCAGTAGACGTGAGTTGCAGCCAAGTGCCTGTAACCAGCCCTGCCCCGGCCTGGGGAGTCCACGAGGCATCTTTGACATCTGGGTACCTAAACTGACACCTGCTCAGTCTCTGCAGAGACCCGGGGAATTTGAGAAACTGAAAGGAGGTCAGGGGTTCTGGAACTTACGAAACAATAAGAGGAGGGGCTAGGGTGGTACTGGTGGCCATGTGGGGGCTGTGGGAGAGGCTGAGTCTTTATCCTGAGAGAAGCGGGCAGCTAGGCAGGGGCCTGGGGCCCTGGGCATCGTGGCTCATGCCTCCCAGATGGAGTGGAATCTTCTGACCATTTTCTCCCCAAGACGGATGCCTGTAAGATAGTGTTTCATCTGATAGCTCTGAGCTGGGACATGAAAGTGTCCCCAGGCCCTCACTCTTGCTCCCCACACCATCCCCATGATAAATGACCTCCTGTTGACCGGAGGCCACGTCCAAGTGCTGTGTGTGCTGCTTCCCAGCTGGTGCACCTTGGGCAGGTGACTTTGTTACCGGTGCCCAGGTCCCACTGCTCTCAGCTCAGAAACAAAAGACTCATCAGTCCCACATGTGGGTGTGGGGCAGGAAGTTTATTATCAGACATCTGAGGAGATGGTCTAGAATTGTCTCCGAGTCCTAGGGTTTTGGGGGAGGATTATATAAGACAAAGGGACACATGAGAAGTGTGGTGGAAGATGCAGCAGGGTTGGGGTCAGTGACTACGCGCTGATCCGCGTGTCTTAATCTCCGACCCTGGGCTCTGTCCTGTGAAGCCTGCAGTCAGACTGCTTGGCTCTGGCATTTTCTCCTTCCCAGGACGCCTGCAGCTGCAAACAAGACTTAATTTTGCAAGTTGCTGAGCAATGGCTCCGCTTTATTCCTCCTACGTTGTTCCAGCAGAGTTCTCTCCTCAGCATTAGGCTCTAACGTGGCTGTCCTTGTGCTAAGCTAGTATTTGTGGCACTCTATCAGCTTCCCCTCTCTGGGCCTCAGTTTCCCATCTGTAGAAGCCTCATGGTGGTGTTCAAAGGAGGAGACGAGCAGTCCTGGCCTGCCTGTGTCGGGACGGCTGTCCCTGTGCTTTTGTTTGTGGCCGTGCACTCCTGTGGGGGTGCCCAGCCGGGGCCCTGCCTGCTTCCCCCCCATGGGGCTCAACCTGTGCCCTGTGCCACCCCCGCCCTGCAGTGCCACCGCGAATCACACTGCCGCCCAGCCTGCCAGGCCCCGTGCTTCTCAACGCCCCCGTCCGGCTGACCTGTAATGCCACTGGGGCCCCCAGCCCCACACTGATGTGGCTGAAGGATGGAAACCCTGTGTCCATGGCAGGGACCCCCGGCTTCCAGGTCAGTAGTGCTGGGTGGCCCTGGTCCACCTCCCTGGGCCTCCAAAAGGTGCCAGGAGCAGAATCAGGCCCTGGGACCTTAGGGTGAGGGAGAAGCCGTGTGTCCGGGACCACGGTCTGGAGGGGGAAGGGAGGGGACACTGAACAGAGCTGCCTAGAGCTGCGCCACCCAACAGGCACACAGTGCATGCCGCGAACAGAGCCATGTATGTCATTTAAAATGTTCTTGTAGCCACATTAAAATGAGTGGGAAGAAACAGGTGTCACCATTTTAATAATACATGTTAGTCGATCCAATGTATCCAAAATGGTTTCATTTCATCATAGAACCAATGTGGAAAATTATTAATGAGACATTTTATGGTTTTTTTCCACACTAGCTCTCTGAAACCACTGTGTATTTTGCACTTGTGGCCCATCTCAATTTGGACTGGCCACATTTCAAGGGCTCACTAGCCACATGTGGCGAGTGGGCAGTGGGGCTCTAGTGAACTCTTGGCGGATCCATGTGACTGCCCTCCAACCAGCAGAGGCCCTGTGTTGCGGGGGATCTGGGGGTTGGGGACAGGCTGTCCAGGTGTGCCTGGTGGCAGGGCCAGCTTGTGAAGGTGGGGTGTTGTCCCCTGTGGTATGCCACAGTGGGACGTCTGCCTGATGTGGGCTTTCCTCTGGGCTCACAGGTCTTCCCTGGGGGCCGGGTCCTCACCTTGGCCAGTGCCCGGGCCTCCGACTCTGGCAGCTACTCCTGCGTGGCTGTAAATGCAGTGGGCGAGGACCGCCGGGATGTCATCCTACAAGTGCACAGTGAGTCGCAGGCCAGGAAGGCCACATGGTCCAGACCAGCAGCTCCAGGAAGATTGGGTGGGGGTGTCCCTGACCACATCCAAAGGGAGGGAGGGTGGTTGGATGGAGGAGGTGCTGCCTGACACGTGGCTGCCTTCAAGTGGGGGTCAGTTGAACCCCCCGAGACCCGTCTGGAGTGTGAGCTGAATGGGTGGACAGGGGGTTGGCCCTGCATGGCCAGGAGCTCCGTGTTCAGGGGAGAGGTGGAAGGAGCATGGAGTGGTAGGAGGAGAACCGGCCGAGAGTCAGGAGGCGCAGCTTCTCACTGTTCTGGGTCAAATGGGGGTGTCCGTCCATTCTGGAAAGGCAGTGTGAGGTGGTGGTTAGGAACACTGGCTCTTGAGTGTCGTGCCTCTGTGACCTTGAGCTGATCACTTTGCTTGTCTGGGCCTCCATTTCTTCATCTGTAAAATGGGGGGAAGGATAGCACCTACCTCAGTGGTTGTCATGGGGACTCACTAAGCTCATCGGAGCACAAGGTTATGGTTACAATTGTTTTTTAATTTCTTTGTACTGCTGTGGAGGCACAAGAAAGAACCTGGGAAATGTGGACTCTTGGGCAGGAATGTGAGGAAGCCTTCGGTTCTAGCTCTTTCCCTTTGCTGGCGTCAGGTCAGAGCTAACAGGTATCATGTGCCCAAGCACCAACCTGTGCCATCGAATTTCATCTCACAGATGTTCATTAGGCTCATTTTACAGATGAGGAAACCAAGGCCCAGAGGCGCTGAGTAGCATCTCAGGGACCCACTTGAGCCGGTGTAGAGCACAGGACCCCAGCCCCGGAGCTCTGACTCCAGGCCCTGTGTTCATAACCGCTATGCTGCACTAGTTATTTTTGTCTTGAGGGGAAAAGTTGGTTCTGGAAACTGCTTTTTAGCATTTTTTTAAAAATGAAAATATAATTAAATTTTTAAATCTTTGAGATAATTGTATATTATTGTAGATTCACATATAGTTGTAAGAAACAATACAGGGCCGGCCCGGTGGCGCACTGGAGAGTGCGCCGCTTGGGAGTACGGCGGCGCTCCCGCCGAGGGTTCGGATCCCATGTGGAGACTGGTTCCCGCTCACTGGCTGAGCGTGGTGCAGGCGCGACACCGAGGGTTGCGATCCCGTTACCAGTCAGTAAAAAAAAAGACAAAAAAGAAAAAAGAAACAATACAGAAAAAAAAAGGAAAAGAGAAAGAAACAGTACAGAGATAATCTGAGTTTCCTTTGCCCAGTTCCCCTCAGTGGTGACATCTTCCAGAACTCTAGGACAGTGTCCCATCCAGGACATGGCTATTTTTTTTTTTCCTTTTTGTCTTTTTTCGTGACCGGCAACGGATCGCAACCCTCAGTGTCGCGCCTGTACCGGACCAGGACCGGCAACGGGATCGCAACCCTCGGTGTTGCGCCCGCACCTTGCTCAGCCAGTGAGCAGCCGGTCTGTATGTGGGATCCGAACCCTCGGCGGGAGCGCCGCCGCACTCCCAAGCGGCACACTGTACTAGTGCGCCACCAGGCCGGCCCAACATGGCTATTGTTACAATCCACCCATGTTTCTCAGATTTGGGGGCCTCCTTTTGAAGAAAGACTGTGCAGGCAGGTGAGGGGTGGGAAGCAGGTTGAGGCTCAGGCACGGGCCCCAGTCCTAGCGGGGACTCCCCATCTGCTGATTTTGCTCCTGGCTGCTGGAAGTGGCTGCCCCCGACCCAGGTCATGGCCCTGTCTGCCGGCCCCACCCCAAATGCCTGAGAGAGCCCCTCCCTGCCCCCTCCCACAGTGCCCCCGAGCATCCTCGGAGAAGAGCTGAACGTGTCCATCGTGGCTAACGAGTCAGTGGCCCTGGAGTGCCAGAGCCACGCCGTGCCCCTTCCCGTGCTGAGCTGGCGGAAGGACGGGCAGCCCCTGGAGCTGCGCCCGGGGGTCCGCCTCTCCGCAGACAAGGCCTTGCTGGAGGTGCGTGGCCTCCCGGCCGGCCGACCCACCCCCACCTTTTGGCGGAGCTGAGTCCCGGGCAGGGCCAGGCCTGTGGGTGTCTCAGAACCCCCAAGAGCATCAGTTGAGCTCAGTGTGACCTGCAAGCCCCGCAGGGGATGGCCAGTGTCTCCAGCTGCTGGGGAGAACCTTCTGCACCAGTCTGGTCCTCCTCCCCCGGCCCCTCTACACCTCGTGATAGGATCGTTCCCAACTCTGAGCATCGAAGTTTGGCTTCCCCTCCTTTCCCTTCATTCTTCAAAGCCACAGCCCAGTCCCACCCCCCGTGTCAGGATCTGGCCCCCGAGGTCATGTCCCCCCATCCTTTACCCTCCATCTTTCCTCTGGTCTGTCCCACTGGACTTTCTGAGAGCCTGGGAGCAAATCCAGGGCCAGAGCGGGTCTGCCGGGCACGTGCCCACCCCCTCGGCAGGTTTGGGCTGTGGATGGCAAGTGGGGGAGGCTGGTGGGCTGCTCTCCAGGGGTGGGCTCGTGTCAGGCCTGCTGCAGGCACAGGCTTCTGGAAGCTTCACTGTCCAATTGGTGGGGGAGGTGCTTTCATTTCCTCCATGTTCCCGCTGGGGAGGTTGGGCTCAGCAAGGTAATGTTGTGCCTGAGGTCGCACATTCTGTCAGGGCTGACCCTGTCTCTGGGCTGCCCCTGCCGATGGGCTGTCTCTGTTCCCGGCCAGGTGGACAGGGCGGAGGTGTGGGACACAGGCCGCTACACCTGTGAGGCCCTGAACCAGGTGGGCCGCTCGGAGAAACACTACAACCTGAATGTCTGGGGTAAGCATCTCCCAGGCTGGTGGCTCCCAGGCCCTGTGGGGGGGTGGGGTGCTGCCTCGCTTGGGTCCCAGGATACAGCCCCACTCCACCCCCCTTACCTCCCAGTCCCTTCCCCATCCCAGTCCCCCACCACCTCACCCATTCTCTTCTCTGACTCAGTTGCTCCAGTGTTCCCCTCAAGGGAGCCCCGCACCCTGACCGTGAGCGAGGGGCACCCTGCCAGGCTGTCCTGCGAATGCCGGGGCATCCCCTTCCCCAAGATCTCCTGGAGGAAGGACGGTAGGATTGCTGCCCTGGCCCAGCACAGGGAGGCTGCTCCCCATCCCCCACCCCAGAGCCTAGCTGAGATGGTGGGCTTATAGCCCTAGGGGGTGGGGTGCCGGTTACAGAAGTGACACTTCCCCCAGCCCCTCTCTGCTCAGTCCCAAACCTGAAGGGCCCCCTGACCCTTTCCCAGCGAGTGAGAACTGGATTGATTTGAGGTCCCACTTCAGACATTGCTTCTTCCAGGAAGCCCTCCTGGCTGGGGCAGGGCCTCAAGGGTGCAGCCTCTGTGTGATAACTTGGCATGTGTCACCCACCTTAGTCCTTCCATATCTGCTCCTCCATTAGTCTGTGAGCCCAGTGAGGTACACCGTCGTGGCTACCACTGAATCCCAAGTTCACTGCCTGATACAAAATAGGTGCTCAATAATATTTGGAATTCATTCAACCAATATTTATTGAGAGCCTCTCTGTGCCGGGCCCTGTTCTAGGCACTGGGGTTACAGCAGCGCATAAAACACACAAGTCCTCACCAGCACGGTGGCGGCGTCAGATAATAAACAAGAAGTTAGTGAATGACTTGCTACCTGAGGTGATAAGTGCTATGGAGGGAAACAAAGTCTGCAAGGGGGAGAAGATGTCCTGGGGGGTAGGACTGCAGTTTTCAGTTCAGTGGCCGGGGACGTTGGAGCAAGCAGACTTGAAGAAGGTGAGGGATGGCCGTGAGAGTATCTCAGTGAAAAGCACTCTAGGCAGAGGCGACGGTCAGTGCAAAGGTCCTGAGGCAGGAATGAGCCAAGCATGTTTGAAGAACTGCAAAGAGGCCAGTGAGGCTGGAGTGGAGTCAGCCAGGGGGACGATAGCAGGAGATGGTCACCAGAGTGGTGGGGGCTGGACCAGAGCCATTGTAAGTATCTTGGCTTTTACCTTGAGTGAGAAGGGGCCACTGCAGGGCTCTGGACAGAGAAGGGACACCATATGACTGACACTGTAGCAGGGCTACTCTGCCAGCCATCATGAGAAAAGACCACTGAGGGCAGGGACAGGAGTGGCCAGCACGGAGGCTCATGCAGGACTGCAGGCGAGAGACGCTGGCCGCCTGGACTCGGGGGGAGCCGTGAGGTGCCGGGAGGGGCCGGAGCCTGGATGTAGTTTGAAGGTGGTGCTGGTGGGATTTCCTGACCGGTTGGAAAGGGAGTGAGAGGAAGGGAGGAGGCCAGGAGGACGGAGGAGAGTGGAGCTGTCATCCCTGCGATGGGAGGCTTTGGGGGCAAGTTTGGGGAGAAGACCTGGAGTTTGGGGTGTGATAATTTTGAGATGTCCATTAGACACCCGATGAGATGTCAAGCGGGCAGAGATGTAGGTGTCTGGAGCTCAGAGGAGAGGTCTGGGCAAGAATCACCCTGGGAGCAGCCAGATAGGCTGTGGTCCCCAGGGCAGAGCGGAGAAGGCAGAAGGAGGAGGTGCTGTCAGGTGGCCGCTGGGCCTCCGCCCCTGCCAGGACATTCTTCGCAGAGATCTGTTCCTCCATCAGCAGGTGAGGGAGTGCTTAATCCAGCAGCTCAAGGCCTACAAATCCTTCCCTTACAACAGGGTCTTCTTGCTGCTGGGTGTACCAGCTGCTGGGTTTCCCTCCTCGGGCCACTGTCGCTAGATGGGCAGGTCATCCATTCAGTAGCCTTCACTGAGCTGAGCCCTGCTGTATGCCAGGCCCTGGGGAGCCTCTGAGGATCCCAGGGGAAAAGAGAGGCAGGGTCTGCCATTCTGGAGGGCCTAGGCCAGGGTGGGATTCAGACAAATCACCTGTAGGCAGATCTGTGGTGGGGAGAAGCTCCGCAGGAAGAGTGGGGGCTGGTGCTCAGAGGGAATGTCAGGACCACATTTGGCACTCAGGGAGGGCTTCCTGGAGGAGGTGATGTCTGTGGGCACCTGAGGGATGAGCAGAAGTTGGCAGGAATGGGTGGTGGACAGACATCCCTGGTGGAAGGACCTGTGTGCCTGCAAATGCTCTAGAGCAGGGGCTTCTTCCTCACTGTCCCCAGGTCAGCCACTGCCTGGGGAGGGGGCCGGCCTCGAACACGTGTCAGCTGTGGGGAGGCTGCTGTACCTGGGACAGGCCCAGCCAGCCCAGGAGGGAACATACACCTGTGAGTGCAGCAACGTGGCGGGGACCAGCAGCCAGGACCAGCAGCTGGAGGTGCACGGTGAGCCGGGCGGGGAAGGGGCCGGGAAGGGCGTGCAGACCCCACCCCCAGAATCGAGCAGAGACAGGCACAGCCATGATGAGCGTGCTGCCACGTTCTCTCAGATTACTGGCATTTTATTAACCACCTTCCCATCAGCGTCTGACAGCTCCTATCCTAAGCACGGGAGAGGGGGTGGCATGATCCCGATGGCCCAGAGAACAAGCATCTTGAAACAGTTGGCAATATGGAAGAAATGTAAAATTTGTGTGAACTTCCTTTGTATATTGGAAACCGAAATCTCCATCCACTTGTCCTGCGGGGATGAAATTAAATATTTCAGCCTTGTAAAAATCGTGCTGGAGGGGCCGGCCCGGTGGCACACTGCTACAGTGCACCGCTTGGGAGTGCGCCGGCGCTCCCGCCGAGGGTTCGGATCCCACATACAGACCGGTTCCCGCTCACTGGCTGAGCGAGGTGCGGGCGCAACACCGAGGGTTGCGATCCCGTTGCCGGTCCTGGTCCGGTACGGGCGCGACACTGAGGGTTGCGATCTGTTGCCGGACATGAAAAAAGACAAAAAGGAAAAAAAAAATCGTGCTGGAAAATAAAACCAAGAAAAGCTGTGGGGAGGATAAGGGGTGGACTAACAGGTACAAAACAACGCTCTCTGCCCTAAGCGAATCATGGTGCGGTAAACGCGTGTACTGAAATAACACACTGCACCCCACAAATCTGTACAAGTAAATGTCAAAATAAAATTTTTTTAAAAAAAAGGAAAGGGAAAGAAAAAAGAAAAGTGCTGTTCAGTGTCTTGGGGAGAAACCCACCCGTGGAATAATCCCCCATCCCGATCAGTCCCAATGACTGTTTAAGCTCCAGGAAGCCTCTGGTTTGGTTTCTGAGGGAAACCCCCTCACAAATCCTGAAAGGGCTGTGCTGGGAGCTTGTCCCCAAAGAGCAGGCCCACCGAGGGTCCCCAGGGCATGGGAGAGAAGGCAGTGAGGCCCATTACAGAGAAGGAAAAGGAGGTCCAGAGAGGTGAGGTTACCTAGCCGAGGTCACACAGCCAGTGAGTGGCAGGGGGCACACAGGCCTGAATAGGGTGTGTCTGCTGGCCCCTGGCGAGTGCTCCCAGGCTCTCCCTCACGTGCTTTCTCCCCACCTCAGTTCCCCCTCAGACTGCTGGCCCCCGGGAGCCCCCCACACAGGTCTCTGTGGTCCAGGATGGGGAGGCCACCCTGGAGTGCAACGCCACCGGGAAACCCCGGCCAACAGTGACCTGGGAGCGGAACGGCCACCCCGTGGGGGCCGAGCCTGGCCTGCGGCTGCAGAACCAGGGCCAGAGCCTGCGTGTGGAGCGGGCACAGGCTGCCCACGCCGGACACTACACCTGCGTGGCTGAGAACGTGGCCGGGAGGGCGGAGAGGAGGTTTGCAGTCTCCGTGCTGGGTGAGGACCAGCGGCCAGTGGGTGGAGGCCAGGACGGGGTCGGGTTGGGGAAGGCAAAGGCACTTCAGTCTCCAGGCCAGCCCTCGGGCTGTGCTCTCAGGGTCACCCTTTCTTCTTCCTGGAGTCAGGTCTCCAATGAGGGCTGCTGTCGGGGGGAAGCTGGCAACATGGCTCTTGAAATCAGGACTGACCCCAACAGCCCTAATTCTCCCCAATCCACCTCCCCTCCCTCTCTCCCTCTCTCCCTCTCTCCCTCCCTCCCTTCCTTCCTTCTCTACTCCCTGCATCCCTCCTTTCCTCCTTTCTTCCCTCCAATATTTACTGCCCCCTGCTCTGATCTGGGCACTGGAGAAATAAGTGGTCTCTATCCTGCGTGACTGCTCTATGATGGAGGGGGGTGCGGGGCGGATTCAGGGGCCTGAGAAAAGACCAGGAAGACCCTGATCACTCTTGTGAAAGATCAGGACAGCCTCCTGGAGGAGGTGACCTTTAAGCTGAAACATACAAGCTGAGTAGGAGTTAAGCTGGTGTGAAGGGAAGAGTGTGCCAGGCAGAGGGAACAGACTCTGCAAAGGCCTGGAGGAGTGACAGCCCATTCGGGGTGTCTGGAACAGCCTGGTTCATTGCAATCACTTCCTGAGCTTCTGCTGTATGCCTGAAGTGTCATTCAAAGTAGAGGCAGGGAGTGGTAAGAGATAAGATGAGAGAGGCGGGCAGGAATCGGTTTACAGACACCACCCCCAATCGGGCCCTGCAGTATCGCTGGTCCCAAGCCTTACCCATTGTTCTACCTGGGGGAATGTGGCTTCCTTTATGAACATGTCCCTTCCAAACTGCAGAGTTGCCACGTCATCCAATGTGTAGGTTTAGGGAAACACCTGGGCTCACCTTTGCCCCGACTCCAGTCTCATTTGTTCAGCATTTGCTCCGTTCCAGGCACTGGACTAAGCGCTTTACACATGCTCTTGTTGAATCCTCCTGGCATCCCTCTGAGGGACTGGAGAAACTGAGGGCCCAGGTGTTTGCCTGACCCCAAAGTCCAGCCTGTGGCTACCACTCACTCCCTACTAGGTGTCACAGCTTCAGTGGGAGCATCTCTGATCTTGTCGCTTCAAGGAGGGCAGTCAGTGGGGGGTGGGGACGGAGCATACAGTCCTGGTCTGCATCCTGAACGTGGTTTCTTTGTGTCTAGTGCCCCCAGAGTTCCTTGGAGACTTGGACCCACTGACCAACATCACTGTTGCCTTGAACAGCCCCTTGACGCTACTCTGTGAAGCCACGGGGATCCCCCCCCCGGCGGTCCGCTGGTTCCGAGGGGAGGAGCCCATCAGCCCCAGGGAGGACACCTACTTCTTGGCGGGTAAGATGCCAGCCAGGGTTGTATCCTGGGAATCAGATCTGGCCCTCTGCCTCTGTTTCTGTCCTTTACATGCCCATGAGCTCTGATGCCAACCTGCCAGGCCTGGTTGGAACAACTATTCCAGCTGCTGGTCCCCAAAAAGTACACCCTAAAACACTGATAAGGTGAGGTATTCCAGGGAAAAAAATGGATTTAAATAAGTTTGGAAAGGGCTTCCTGCTCTGCTTCCCTCCTGGAGACCCACAGTGAACGTTTGCATAGTAAAGGCTCTGGTAAGTCCTACAGAAACAACAAAAATTCTCTTGGCGCTTATATAACATCCCACAGAACAGTAGCAAACTTTTGGAAATGCTGATCCAAGTACCTTCTCTTCTGAATATTCATCCTCCTCACCAAATTGGCTTGTGATGTTCCTTGCTGGTATACAGATGGGAAACTGAGGTCAGAAAGGCAGTGTCCCACCCAAATGTTGCAGGCACTTCGAGGCCCACCGAGGCTCAGCCTCAGTGACCCATCAATTGTCCTATGCATCCCATGGTGAGATGGTAAATACGCCTCCCTGTGCATGACTTCCGAACACTCGGTGGGGGCTGCCTGATGCATTGTGCAGATACGAATTCAGAGACAGCATTTGGGCCCCGCAGAAAGGAAAGTGGAGATCAACTAGTGATGTCTGCTCTGGGTGCAGGAACAGTCCTGTGATCTGCCCTCCCCAGACTGGTCTTAGGAGACCCTTGGGTTCCTCTGAGATCAGCCAGCTCGTCCTGTGAGGGCCTAGAGAGAAGGAGGACTTTTACCATGTCTGTCAAAGTAGAGTTGGGATCTGAACTGGGCCAGGACTACATTGCTCATTGCTGATCCTTTAGCCCCAGCCAATCCCCAGAGTGAGGGGTGGCCAGGGTGACACTTCCTTCTTGCTAGAACAGAGTCACCAAGTTTATTCCGGTGCACGCCTAATGTCCAGGCAGCTCCATCCTTTACCCTCCTGGGCCTTGGTTTCCCCATTTGAGGAATGGGACACCGTGGGAGGCAGACACGTACACATTTAGTTATGATGCCTGGTCGTCCCTCTTCCTGGTGGGCAGCTGGCTGGGGACAGAGGCTGCTCAGATCCCACTCTTCTCCCTCCCCAGGTGGCTGGATGCTGAAGATGACTCAGGCCCAGGAGCGAGACAGAGGTCTCTACTCGTGCCTGGCAAGCAACGAGGCTGGGGAAGTGCGGAGGAACTTCAGCGTGGAGGTCCTGGGTAGGTTGCAGCCCCACTGTCAAAGGAGCCCCGTGAATCCTTCCCTTCCTGCCTGAGAGCTCCTGGGGCCCAGCACTAAGGGCTCATGCTACAGCATGGGGCCCAGCACAGGGACGGAGGGAGAAGCTAAGCTTTGTTTTCTTTGCTTCATCAGAGACATCTGCTCTGAGGCTGCCATGAAACTTTCTAGAAACAGTAGGAAAAATCCAAGGTGGAAGGGGGCAAATATTTTCAACACCACCAAATCCACCCTCTTCTAATTAGGGTCTTCTCCCAGAGGCACTGGTACTTAGCCAGCAGCAAATGTTTATTAAACTCACCGCCTTGTGGAAGCAGGCACAAGGGAATGGGGAAACTGAGTCACAGGAAACTGAAGAGAGGAGCCTAGGCTCTTGGCTTCCTGCTTCTTGATTGTGTGGGCTGAGTGGGCCAACCCCAGTCAGTAGCCATCTGTCTCCTTCCTTCTCCCAGTTCCTCCCAGTATTGAGAATGAGGATCTGGACGAGGTGATCAAGGTCCCTGAGGGACACACTGCACACCTGACATGTAACGCCACAGGTAAGGGGCCACACAGAGTGGCGGGCTGGGAGAAGGGGTGGGAAGGCAGCTTTGGAAAAGAGGGCGACCTTCGGGATCTCGCTGCCTGCCTCGGTCCTGCTGCCCCCACTGAGAGTCTCATCTGCACTTGCTGTCCCTCTGCCCCAAACACTCTACCCCACTCCTCACCTGACTGCAGATCTCAGCTTCCAGCTCCCTCCACAGGGAGTCTTTGGTTGGCCCCTGGTCCAGAGGGCTGTATCCACTAAGCTCCCACAGGCCCCAGAGCTTCCCTGTCTCAGCACTGACCACACTGGACCATAGTGGCCTTGTGACATTTGAGCTCTTGAGGACCCAGGGGCTGCCTTGTCACCATGGTTTCCCCAGTGTCTGGTAGAGTAGGCTTCCATTAATGCTCATAGGCCAAAGGATGAATGGATGGATGTTTGGATGGATGAATGGGTGGGTGGGTGAGTAGATGAATAGACGATGGACAGATGGATGGGTGGGTGAAAGGATGGACGAGTGGATGGGTGGATGGATGGATGGATAAATGGGTGGATGGATGGATGGATGGATAATGGGTAGGTGGGTGGGCAGATGGATGAAGGGTGGATGGATGGATGGATGGATGGATGGATGGATGGATGGATGGATAGATGGAAGGAACACTCGCCTTTCTGTCTTGCCAGTCTGTACTGAGCCATCTCTGCTTACTCCTCTGTGAAGAAAAGGCAACCATATCCCAGAGGAAAGCACCCTGGCCTGGCCTGGTGGCTGCTTCTGTTTCTTGCTGTGCTTCATGAGCCTCTGAACTGTGATGGAGAATCCATGTCCCCTGCTCTGTCTGGGAGCAGCCTCTGACCCCTGGGCTAACCCGGTCAAGCCTGCTGAATCGTCTCATTTTTTCCTCTGCATGCAGGCTACCCACAGCCCAAGGTTACGTGGTTCAAAGACGGCCGGCCCCTGGCTGGGGGAGACGCCCACCACATCTCCCCAGATGGAGCCTTCCTGCAGGTCCTCCAGGCCAACCTGTCCAGTGCTGGCCACTACTCCTGCATCGCAGCCAACGCCGTGGGGGAGAAGACAAAACACTCCCAGCTTAGCGTCCTGGGTAAGTTTGGGCATCTCCTGGCCACCCTGGGTGCTGGCGAGAGGGAGATCCAGGTGACAGCTCCGTGTAGACAGCTTGCGAGAAAGCGCTCTACTAAGTTTTCTTCTATTTCTCCAAGTTTGACGACAACAATACAAAATAATATTAGCAGCTATATCAATTAAACATTTATCACGGGCCAGGCATTTGGACAGGCCAGATTGGTTGAATCTTCACAATGACCCTAGGAGGTGGGAGATGTTCTTGTCCCTGCATCACTGATAAAGCTCTGAGGCTTAGAGAGGTGACACGACTCTGCCAGGTGGCAGGGTGGTGGGTTCACACACAGGCCGTCTGTCCCAGGACATCGTAGTGCGTACTGTCTTGTTAGGCTGGAGAAATAGAATCTACCCAAACGAGAGCATGCTGACTAGTTCAGTAAAATCTGTTTCTAAAAATGCTGGTGGCACAAGGGAGAGTCCCCTGCAGGGTTGGAAGGATGACATGTTAGGACTAATGAAAACAGAGCTACTCTACCCAGCAGGGCAAAGAGCCCCCACTCCCCATCCCCAGCTCAGGGAAGCGTACAAACTGGAAACAGACAGAATTGGGAACACTCTGGTTAAATTAGTAGGTAGTCTAGATGTTGGGAAGGTGTTGGGGAGATTGAGGCAGAAATTATTCGGCTTTCCCCTGCAGTATTGCTTAGCAGTGGCGAGCCCGTGCTCTGGGTCACGCGAGCCTGGATTTGAGTCTGGCCGCACCATGTGTGGGCTCCTCTGAGCCTGTGTCCCGTCTGTGTAACGCAAGTACAACAGCATCTAGGCTAAGCACCAGCGCACAGGCTTTCCTGGTCCCTGGGCCCAGGGTTGGGCATCTGTGTTCGTGACTGCCCTCCGTGCCACCCCCCCAGTCGTCCCCACCATCCTGGGAGTGACCGAGGACAGTGCAGACGAGGAGGTGACCGTGACCATCAACAACCCCATTTCTCTGATCTGCGAGGCGCTGGCCTTCCCTTCCCCCCAGATCACCTGGATGAAGGACGGGGCCCCTTTTGAGGCCTCCAAGAACATCCAGCTGCTCCCAGGTGATGTCCTCTGGGGGGTTGGGGGGGGTGAGGAGATAGGTGACATGCCATCAGGCCGGGTCAGAGGAAGGGATGCGTGAGCCTGAGCTCCTGACTGGCATGAGGCTGCAGCTACCAGGTGACCCTGGCCACTGCCCCCCAACTCAGGTACCCATGGGCTGCAGATCCTGAATGCCCAGAAGGAAGATGCCGGCCAGTACACCTGTGTGGTCACCAATGAGCTCGGGGAGGCCATGAAGAACTACCACGTGGAAGTCCTCAGTGAGTTGGGGACCCTCAGGGCACCAGCTGGGTGGGCAGAAGGCTGCCTGGGAACCCAAGGGTGCTTTATGTGGCTTGTCTCCTCTGATAGTCACCAGGCAGCTGGGGTGGGCTCTGTCACTCCCCAATTAAGAGCTGAGGATGCTAAGAGGAGGGAAGGTGAGGTGGGACTTGGGCCACGTGGACTCCAGAGCCTCACCGTCCGGTCTTCCTTCTGCCACTTCTGGTGCAGCCAGAGGCTCCCTTGCCTCAGACCTGCCCTGTCCCGCAACCATCGCAGACAAACTCTCTCTCCCCTCGGTGAACAGTCCTGGGGATGGGTTGGCTTCCAGGGTCCCCATTCTTCCACTCTTTTAGGAGCAAGCCCCCCATTTCTGGGACTGCCCCCAGGACCAGGGTGAGCTCAGGGTCTCAGCAGCCTTCCCCCCAGGCCCACTTCTCAGACCCCCTTGTGGTTTTCAGTCCCACCTTCCATCTCCAAAGATGACTCCTTGGGGGAGGTCAGCGTGAAGGAAGTAAAGACCAAGGTCAACAGCACCTTGACCCTGGAGTGTGAGTGCTGGGCTGTGCCCCCACCCACCATCAGCTGGTACAAGGACGGACAGGTGAGCACAGGACCCCCTGGGTGGCCTTAGGCTCTCACATCTGGGTCCCGCCGGTTCTACCTGGAACCTTCCAGAAAAGGCAGCTCTTAAAGCACCTGGCCCCAGAGCTGGTCGAGGCCCTGCCAACACTTTATTTTTTAATAAGAAATCCTTCTCTGTAGGGAACAAGTCTCATAAACATTAAACTGCTATTTTTACCCATTTACTTCTCTTCCAATTTTTATGTTATATGGATTTGGTTTTACAAGGTTTGCCAGGGTGTTCCTAACGCTTATGTTTTGTTTTGTGTTTTAATTTGTTAAAATATAAGTGCACTTGTCTTGGTGCTTTCCGCCCCCTCATTTCTGATCTCTGTCTCTCCCTTACACCCCCCTGTTGTCCTCCCCCAGCCTGTGACCCCCAACCAGCGGCTCCACATCCTGGGGGAAGGGCGACTGCTCCAGATCCAGCCCACGCAGGTGTCAGATTCAGGACGCTACCTGTGCGTGGCCACCAATGTAGCTGGTGAGGACGACCAGGACTTCACCGTGCTCATCCAGGGTATGTGTCACCAGCAGGCCTGGGGGTGGGGGGGATGCCAGCCAGCGGCATGGAAGGGGGTGTCAACCAGCGTGACCAACAGGGTGGTGTCGGCCAGGCTGACAGTAGCCAAGTGCTCTCCTGGCTGCGCGTCTGTTCGCGAGCTTCATGCGGGCGATGCCTGCTGAACCACCCGACCCACCCAGGGGGACGTGCTGCTCCCACCCCACCCCCCCATGGCCGAGGGAATGAGGAGAAAAGGGACGAGGCCTCCTGCCCCAAATCACAGAACTAAATGGCAGAGCCTGGATTTGGTCTGGTTAAGCTGAAACACCACGCTCTTGACCTCTCTGCCAGGCACCCTTGCTTTCTTAGGAAGCGTGGGGAGTTGCTTCAAAATAATCTCGGTTGAGAGTAAGTTGAGGCAAGTTGATAATTGTCGAAGCTGGCTGTGGGTACGTGGGCCTCCTTACATTCTACGTCCTGCGGTTGTGCATATTTAATATTTTCCTTTTTAAAAACAAATGAAGAAAGAAGGAAGGGAGGGAGGGAAGGACAGAGGCAGGGAGACGGGGAGGCTGATGGCCGAGCCTAGTGATGGTGAGCGTGAGTGTTCATGGCCGGGTTTTGCTGCATGATGCTCCTGGAGTGGCCTGGCAGGAGGAACACCTGTTCCAGGCTGCTTGTACCCTTTCCCATCTCTGGCATGTCTGGTCCCCAGCCCCCTGGCCCTGGCTTTGTCTTTAAGTGACCTTGTGACCTGGAGTTGTTACTGCCCCCTTTGAGCTTCAGTTTCACCCTTTGTAAAACGCAGGTGATCAAGTTAGGTGACACTGAGGTTCTAAAAGCCATTGAATTTGTGCCTCTGTGCTCCAATAAACAAATGCTGGCTAAACCTTCGTGTCTGGCCTCCTCCCCTGAAAAATATTTTCATGTGACAAGGAGGCTTTTGAGCTCATTAGACATGAGCACCATAGGTGCTATCCTATGTGTTATCCTAGTGCCCAGCACGTAGTAGTTGCTCAATGAACACCGGTTGAGGGAGTAATTGAATCTAAGAAATGCCTTGACCTTAGGAAATGGCTCAAATGCTGGAATTCTGTGCTGGGGGAGACTGGCATGGGAATTTCTTTGGGCGGAGGTGCGTTACCTGCCCCTCCACTGTGTGTCCTAACGGCTTAGTCTCCCCCACCCAGTGCCCCCCATGTTCCAGAAGATGGGCAACACCAGTGCAGCCTTCGAGCTCTTGTCCCAGGAGGAGGAAGTTCGGGGCGGGGTGACAGAATATCGGGAGATCGTGGAGAACAACCCGGCCTACCTGTACTGCGACACCAATGCGGTCCCACCCCCGGAGCTCACCTGGTACAGGGAGGATCAGCCCCTCTCAGCCACGGATGGGGTGTCTGTGCTGCAAGGTAGGCCAGGGCTGTGTGAAGTGGGTGCTTTGAGCACCCACGTGCTGCCCACTGTGTGACCTCAGGCAGAGCATGCGCCCACTCTGGACCTCAGCTGCAGTTTGTAAACTGGGACTACAAGTTCTTCACCTGGGGCAAGAACGGGGTCGTCTTCTGCCTCTAGTTTTTAGAACAGAGTTTCCCACCCTGAGCTGTGCCCACCTCTGGGCTGCAAGACCTGTAATGTCCTGAAATGACTGGCAGAAGTGAGGACCTCTCTCTGCAGAGGGAGTCAGTTCCTTTATTAATAACCTCAATGAGGCTCATGACCCCACACGCTGGAGAAGCTCTCACTGGGCTTAGGAGACCACACTGTGGTCAAAGCTCATGGCTCATGTCTTCTTTTTTTTTTTT